AGCAGGGTATCCTGTGCCAGGTCTCGTGCCTCCAGAAACGGGATTTGTTCCAGTTGGATATCCAGAGGCAGGCTGGGATCCCGTTGGGTAGCCACTGTGAGGGACTGTGCCGCTTGGGTAGCCGCTAGAAGATCCCGGTTGCGTGGGATACCCTGGGTTAGGATTGTAAGGTTGTGAGGGGTATCCTGGCTGCGTGGGGTAGCCAGGCCTTGTACCCGAAGTGCCAGTGGAGACACCTGTTGCAGCTCCAGCTCCTGTTGCACCTGTGGCAGTGCCTCGGTTGTTTCCAGTGTTCCATCCATATGACCCTCCTCCGGTGCTGCTTGTTCCAGTGCTGCTGCTGCTTCCACTGCTGCTGCCACTGCTGCTACTGCTGCTGCCACTGCTGCTACTGCTGCTACTTCCACTTCTGCTACTGCTACCAGAAGAGCTGCTTCTTCTGAACCATCCGCCAGAACTCCTGCTGCTGCTGCCGCTGCCGCTGCTGCTGGACGACGACGAACTGCTGGACCTCCTGCCGAGCCACCCACTTCCTCTCGATCGAGACGAAGACGATCTACTGGAGCTTCTTCTCGCAGGGGACCTCTTCTCCCTCCTTAGCTCGCGTGCGACTTGTTCCTCTCCGCTTTCTTCTTCACTGTCATGTTCCTCGTCCTCGTCCTCGCCTTCGAGTTCCGAAAGCAGGAGCGAGATCACGTCTTCGTCAATCCCCTCCTCCTGCTTCAGTTTCCTCAAGACGTCGACAAAATGCTCCAGGGGGTCGTCATCCTCATCCTCACTGTCGTCTTTGTCTTCCTCGTCTTCAGCTGCCAGCAAAGCCAGAAAGTCTGGATCGTCGGGAACGTCGGTGTCGCTCTGGTCACTGATCTCGCTGACATAATCGTCTTGCCAGAGCTCTGGTTCTGCGAAAGATAGAGTGCTCTTAATATCACTGTTACCATGTTTACTAATGTTCGAAAGAAAAACACACACATAAAAAACAAAAGAAACAGCATGAGCAGCAGGTAACAATGATGTTCACGCTAATGTCGACTGCATTTTGGAAACGGACTCCTTAATTTTAAGCAAATTGCACACTGATCCCAAGGCTTTGAATATCGCTTAGCGATATTTATTGTTTATTCATTGTCATTCCTTTTTTAATTCCACTTTTAACTCATAATAATAACTCGATAGAGTTATCATTTATTATTTTATTTTAGTCACATACACACATACACATATATATATGTGTGTGTGTGTGTGTATCATATGTATATATATAGAATGTGGTATATATATATATATATATATATATATATATATATATATATATATATATATATATATATATATATATATACATACTCTTCACGAGTTCCTCTTAAGATGAAAAAAAATATATATTATTCATCTGAAGAGGAACTTGTGAAGGTTGTTTTCCTTTTCATAGATAGATAGACATATTAGTGATACTACAATTTTCGCTGCTTGTTAAGTTATAAGAGATAAAAATGTTCTGTGTTGATAAAGTGAATATTTTGATTAAGTACATAGGGAAATCATATCATAAATGAGAGAGTATAATTTACAATAAGTTTATAATGCCAGAAAATAAATTCACTAAAGCCAACATAAGAAGAAATCTACATAACACTCGCAAACCAGAAAAAAATGAAAATCACACAGACTTGGGGAAAAATCAATTGCTTGAATGAGTGTTTTATGCTCCAGTGTTGCCTGTTGTTTTGCATTTTCTGAATATCGCAAAGAAAACGGGCTTTGTGCCAAAACAAACCTCGATAAAGCTGGGAAGAAGCATAGGCGAAGAGGAGAGCCACTGCTAGGACCTGGAAGAGCGCCGCCATCCTGGCACGGGAGGCAACGAAGGACTGAACAAAGTGGCACTGGCTGAGAGCCAACACTGCCTCGTGGCATAGAAAACGGGATGACGAAATCCATTCAGAAATTAGTGTGTGGAATGTTGCCTTTTGGGTCATATTTGTGTGCTTTGTTTTTGTTTGCGTGTTTCTGTCTTTGTTGAAATATAGCTTTGGCTCTCAATTCTTGTTTAGTGTAATACTTGGCCCACAAATACGTTTATATATATGTGTGTGTGTGTGTGTGTGTGTGTGTGTGTGTGTGTGTGTGTGTGTGTGTGTGTGTGTGTTTGTGTATATGTATATGCATATAAATACATTATATATGTGTGTGTGTGTGTGTGTGTGTGTGTGTGTGTGTGTGTGTTTGTGTAATTGTATATGCATATAAATACATTATATGTATGTGTGTGTGTGTGTGTGTGTGTGTGTGTGTGTGTGTGTGTGTGTGTGTGTGTGTGTGTGTGTGTGTGTGTGTGTGTGTGTGCGCGTGTGTGTGTGTATGTGAATATATTTATATTTGTATGTATATATATGCATATGCATATGTATATATACATATATATGTATATATACATATATATATGTATATATATACATATGTATGTACATATATGTATATATATGTATATATATATATA